CCCCCCCCCCCCCCCCCCCCCGCTAACCTTGCTTGGGCACCGCCCTGAGTTCCAAAGGATTGGAGCTCCGCGCGGTTCTGAGGCGCCTGGGCCTGAGCGGCCTGCTTTCAGGCTATTTGCAAACAATAGAGCGCGCGCCCAAGGAAAGCCCCCTGCGGCGGGGCCCCAAAGGTCCCCGGCAAACCTACCAATCTCCGAACCTAGCTAGGAATTTCTTCTCGATTTAGAAGCTTCCGACCTTTCCCCAGACGGTGCACAGCCTGTCCCAGCTCTGCCTAGTTCGCCGCCCCTCTGCCTTAGCGGCGGCAGCTGCTGGTTCTCACCGCCGCGCGGCAGCCGCAGGGACGCTCCGCCGGCGGATCCCAGTGCGGAGGTGACCCCCCCTCCTGTGTCCCCCTATCCCCACCCCTTCCCAGGATGCTACACCGCGGGGAAACAGGGACCAGTGCAAGGCTAGCTAGCTCTGTGATCCACCTCGGAGCCCAGTCCCGTGGGCTCCGCGGCTCGATTCAGCGAGCGAGCTAGGGCAAGTGGTTACCTGTTATCCAGCTTAACGGAAACCACATCCCCTCCAAGCAGAGAAGAGAAGAAGGAGATGGAGAAATTGTGCAGCTGATAGACCGCCACCTCCATGGGGGTCTGATACATTTCGGTGTTCATGATTCGAGTTGCCGGGGGAGCTGTGGCTGGTTTGGGTGGCTGCTGGCGCGCTGCTATGGGATAGGCTCCGGCGCCGCAGTTCGGCCCTGGAGCTAGGAGTAGAAGGAAGGCTGCTGGGCAGAACCTGAGCAAGTCAGGCACTTCAAGCTGGAGTTGAAGGGAAGTGGCTCGAGGGAAGTCACCAAGTGTGTCACAAACTCCACAGCTGCCAGCCCAACCCAGACTCAGAGATAATTTCGGCTCCTGCTTCTTTATATAGGAGGAGCCCGCTGCGTCACATGGCGTCAGGGGCCATGCAAATGAGTCCTGTACTGGGCTTTGTGGCTCAGTTAAACCACATCCCCCTCGGTGAACCTTAGTCAGGGAGTGTAAACAGTTCAGCACTTTCTTGTGCCAACTGGCATCTCCAAAGAGGACTTTGGAGGCTGGTAAAAACCAAACTGGAGCTCATTTCTAGAGAAATGAACAGCAGGTAGAAAGCATTCAGTAGAGGGCGGCACTGCATTTAAAAGCTTTCCGGGTGCCAATCCATGTGCTCTAACTGGCTTTGCAATGCTCTCCTGTCACTCTCTGAATGCCTACCCCCACCATTAGGAGTCTCACTTTCTCCAGCTGACTGCGTCTTTCCTTGGACACAGACTTTCCATCTGTATGTTCACTCACTCAGCAATACAGCTGTCTAGCAAAGTATCAGCCAGATGCTTACCCAGTCTGGTCCAAACTCCAGGACCCGCTCAACTCATCTCTTCCTTGAGAAGTACAAGTATGGGAATAATGGGTGGTCTGCATGTAATACACTCACAGGTGTGCACGAATCTGTGAGTGCATGTGTATGGGGGAAAGGGGATTCAAAAGCTGATGAGATCGACACATAATAGGGAGCAGTAGGTGGCTGACAGAGGATGTGGAAAGAAGACAGAGTAGTGGAGTTGGCAATGGAGTGACCACCGATGACAGTCCTTTTCTCTTTGGTCTCTACACCCTACTCTGCAAAGAAAATACATTCACCACTATTGCCTGAGAACTCATGTCCCTATTTATTTTATTTTATGTGTATGAGTGTTTTACTGGTATTTATGTCTATGCACCACATGAGTGCCTGGTGTCTGTCTGAGGAGGCCAGAAAAGGGCATTGGATCCTCTGGGACTAGAGTTACAGAAGATTGTGAACAACCATGTGGTGCTGGCATTCGACTGGGTCCTCTGGAAGAGTAACCAGTGCTCTTGCTGCTGAGTCATCTCTCCAGCCCTATTTTTATTTATTTTTTACTTACTTACTTACAGGCAGGGTCTATCTATGTAGCTCAAGCTGATCTCCAATCACAATTTTCCTACATGCTGTGATTGTAGACTGAGCCAGCATGACTTGGCTAACTAATTTTTTAAAACATTTTTAAGGGCTGGAGGAATGACTCAGCCATTAAAGGCTAGGTTCACAACCAAAAATATTTCTAAAAACTTTCTTATAAACAGCAAACTGAAGAAGAAAACTACAAACCGAAGCTACACATAAATTGCCTCAGGAAAAATAGCTCCAGTGTCCACAGAGCCCTGAGGAAAGGAAGATTTAGGATTTCTCCAGGTGCTCCCAAGCTGAGAACCCTGAAGCACTGACACCAAGGGAAATTTGCCTCCTCCAGAAATCTCAAAGTCCTGATAACAGATCCATCTACATGTGCATATTTCCTGTTTTTTTTTAACTTCTGTTTTACCATTCCTATAAAATATGAAATAATGAATGATACAGGAAATCCAAAAAGAAACTCCATCCCTGGGGGAAATTTGGCCAAACTATAAATAAATTCACTTTTATTTGCCCACTTCTGTTTACTTCAGAATACAGGAAATTAAGCTGGTACACTGTGGACCTAAGTGTCTAGTAGTAATGGGTCCAACTATATATATTCACCGTTGAAGAGTACTTAATGATGCCATAAGGAAAGGGGTTTCTGTTGTCTAATAAAATTACACGTGTTTGCATCAAAATGTATTTTCATTCTTTTGGGCATTAAAAAGGAAGGAAGGAAAGAAAAAGACTGAAAAAGGAGGTGGCATCTAAGCCTTGAGGTTCTTCCTACTCCTGCCTGAGAGGCCACCTGGTGGATAAAATTATAACTGCAAGGATAAGAATCAACGTGGGCAGAGAAAGGAATAAGTGATGCAATCACCAATACTGTTTACACCAACCCAGGACTAGAGGAACATTAGGTTCCACCAACATATACAATAGTTTGCATGATGTTAAGGCAAGTGCACATAAATCAGTGATCCACAAGCTATGGTCCAATGAAACAACTCAGGGCAATCATTCTATTGGAAAAGTACTGGGACCTCTTATCAGCAAAGGAGGTAATTATTTGCTTCAGGATATTTCTTAGACAGGTACCTGGTACTGACACCCTGGCTAAGGCCCCAGCCAAGCCCAGTCTGAAGACCTTGATTTCCTCCTGGCTTTTAGTGCATTTATGTCACTGAACAGTCACTGTTTTCAACTATGAAATGGGGCTCCAATGGTAGATTTCAATGGTAAAATATTCAATGTCCACTGCAGTTGCAAAGAGCTGACCAAACGTCGGGTGATGGTGGTGTCCGCCTTTAATCCCAGCACTAGGGAGGTCTACAAGAGCTAGTTCCAGGACAGGTTCCAAAGCTACAGAGAAACCCTGTCTCAAAAAAAAAAAAATAAAAAAATAAATAAATAAATAAATAAAAAAGCAAAGAGCTGACCAATAAACTCCAAGCAAATCTTTTCCATAGCCCATTCCATACCATTTTAGGTGGGAGAAAATGGCAACCAACAAGACATTGTTAACTTCGGACTCTCTGAATGTGGTATTTGCACTAAGTGGTGTGTAGCAGACAGAACAAAGTATAGGTAGTATTTATAGGTCATTAAGAACATTATCCGAGGAGAAAAAAATCTTTTAAATTAGCGGCTTAGCTGCTCTTGGAGTTTCCTGATTTATTAATCTTCCCTCTGCCACCTAGAGCTTTCTTGGTCTGAAAAAACTTCTGGGTTAATTTTTTTTTATTGCTTTATAAATTTTTCCTAAACTACTGCTACTCACCCACCTCAAGACTACAAAGAAGATGGTGAGAAGACAGTGGGAGGTAGGGATAAGACAGGTTGGCAGGGGCAAAATACCACCAGGAAAATGATGTACAAGAGAAATAAAACAACCATTTTGATGAAGATTTCTTCATTTGGAAACAGTGACAGAGAATTTCAGGTACTTTGAGGAAAGAAGAGAAAAGAGGAAATAGGGGTTGCTCACAAGGTTGAATTGAATTGCTCACTAATTATACTTCAAATAAAAAACAACTTGAGTTTGAGATTCACTGACTATAATAGCTACTATAGCACTAGCTATGGGCTGACACTGTGCTGGCTATACCATAAACCCTGCATTTTAGGCAATATCGCTACCATTTACAAATGAAAAAAACTGAGGGTCTGGTACCTTGCCCAACATGGTGAATACATTGCAGAGCTAGGACTCTAGCACAAATCTACTGACCAAGAAACTAAGTTTATTTGTTTGACTATACCAGTTAATGGATAATTGTTGGTCAGGAAGTAGGTTTACCGAAAGAGCAGAGATTACTAAAGTTGGAGGGATGAATTGGAGGAGTCAGAGAAGGGTAAGGAGGAAAGAAAGGGTGAAGGGAAAATGCCTGTAGGATGCCAGCAACTTTGATGACATACAAGAGGCTCTAAGACCAACTTTGAGTTTTAAGCATAGTCAGCTTTTCTGACACTTGGAGATGAGAAAAAATATTCAAACTGTCCCTAAGAGCTTTAGAAAAGGGCCATGTTGCTTTTACTGGTTAATGAATAAAGAAACTGCTTTTGGCCAATGGCTTAACAGAGTAAAGCCAGGCTGAAAGAGATCTAAAGAGAGAGTAGGTGGAGTCAGGGAGAAGCCCTGTAGCCCCGCCATAGACAGACACCTGTCCGATGGAACTTTACCCTGTAAGCCACAACCACATGGCAATACACAGATTAACGGAGATGGGTTAGTTTAGGATATAAGAGTTAGGCAGAAATACATTTAAGCTATTGGCCAAAAGTATTGCAAATAAAAAAGAATAAAATAAAACTGATTAAACTGAAAAAAAGGGCCATGTTCATTTAGATCAGTTCAAAACACAATTGAGAAGTCTTCAAAGTCATGTCAGTCTAAGAAATAGGAGCTACTGGTGGTTCCATAAAGGAATGAATATATAGTTCCAGAGCACACACTATTCCAAATAAAGTGTATGGTTTTAGAATAACGATCACAATCTATTCAAACCTCAAATTTTTGGGTCCCGCACTTACTGACATCCTTAGTTAAATCTCTCAATTTTTTCTTATTCTTGCTGTACTGCCTTTAGAATGAGGTCAAAAAGTAAACAAGCTTAGTTGGGCATTGTGGCATACTTTTAATACCAAGAGGCAGAGACAGAGGCAGGCAGATTTCTGTGAGTTCAAGGCCAGTCTGTTGTATGTAGTGAGTTCCAGGTTAGTCAGGGCTATGGAGTGAGCGAACCCTTGTGAAAGGGAAGAAGGGAAGAGAAGAGAAGAAGGGAAGGGAAGGGAGGGAAGGGGATGGGACGGGGGGGAGGGAAGGGAAAGCAAGGCAAGTTTATACCAAGAACTTAGTGGTTTTGTTTTTCTGACTGAACCACTATCCTGTGGATTCAGCCCACACTTAGACCAATCTCTCTTCTGCTATATGTCCATAGTTTTGTATGTGAAAAGTAAGCTTTATCTCAATTTTCAGAGAATTACTGGATCCCAGGGTTATATAAAGAAAAAAAAGAACTTATGTAAATGTCTCTATACAAAGATTTTCTAATAAGGACAAGGGAGATTGGGGAAGGGGGTTGAACCTAAACGGTTAGTTTTATGGTTAACCCTCAGCATACCAGAAAACTCTTCTGTTTAAAACAGTTGCACCAACCCTTGGAGTGGGTGAAAGATTGCACAGTACATTATATCCATTACCTAGTCTAATACTTCTGATTAAAGTGCTGATCTTATCCTTCTGTCCTGCACAAGTGGACTCCACACAGGAACGAGAAACTCAAGACTTCAACAGCCCAACAACATCAACATTCAGAAATATTTCTAAGCCTCTTATATTCCACAACTTATAAATATAGCCTAGATCTGGAGCCAGCACACCAGTACCTGCTGATGAGCTAGGCTCTTCACTGGCTTCACTTTTAGTCCTAACGCCACAGTACTTTGCAAGGAAGCAGACATAGCTGACCCTACCTCCCTCAGGGGTGACCTCCTAAAGGAGGGTGTTGTGATGAGGATGGATCAATTTTCCTCATTTCAGGAGGCCATGGGAAGTAGTTTATTGTTTGAGCTGGAAGAATGTGTTCACATTCCCAATTGGTCTGTTCTACTTTAAAAACCAAAGTCATCCGGACAAGAGCTCCTGCTACTTGGGGTTCCCACAG